ACTGATCTTATGCAAAATACCAGTTTGAAATATGTAGGTAGGATTATTATTTTTAATGTATTTTATGTTTTAGAGAGTATGCTCAAAGGTATAAGCTACATATTTCTCCATGTTTTAAACAATTTAAAACCTAAGCTTACCTGCTGGTTTTATTACTAACATTTTAAAAAAATGATAATCATCAGCACCTCAGAAATGATGGAACAATAAACTCACCATGAAGGAATAACTCCACAGAATTATAAAGGAGAAAAGATAATTTGTCCCCTATAGGGACATTATTTCACAGTAGCTCCCATTGCTGAGTCTTTCTCTCTTACCTCATCTCTTTTGTTGACTGGAAGTGCTTTGCTGCACAAAGTTTTTGCTTGATGTTTTCTTGGACTACTACAGGAGAGTCCAGGGTGATGACTACCACTTCAAAATGAAATGGTAGCAACCATGCTATGGAAGTTTAAAGATAAAGTAATAAATGTCCTGTGGTATGATTGCAGTGACAACTAAAGCTGCCCTTTATCTGTTGAATAGTAGAAGCAGTGGCAAACAGTGATCAACCTTTCCCCTCGTCTCCTCCGTGAAGCACAACAAATCTTTCTGATGGAGAAAGTTTTGGTTCCATTTCTTTTAATGTGAATGAAAGCATCCTGGTGGTGATAGTCAGAATGGGTAGAGATGAATGGTTATGCATTCTGAATACATTTGGATTGCTGCAGCTTAGTGAGTTTGCTTCCCGGCCTCCTCTTCTTGTGATCAATCAAATACCCTTTAAAAATGCAACACTGGGAAAGCTTGACATTGGGCATATAAACATTTCTGAGTTCTTGGCTCTTTTGATTTCATGTGAGTGTTTTTACCTAGGGTTCATGGAGATGAGATAAATCCCAAGATTGGTTGTTTGCCACCAAATGAAAACAAACCTTGTAATAAGAACAGTTTGTGGTTTTGGTGCTCAGGCATTGTAAATAAATTATGTGTAGAGGTGCCAAGTGAATATTCTTTCATAAATCTAAAGAGTAGAGACTCTGCAATTCAAAACCACAAGGACCCAAATACACTTTGGGTTCTGTGGAGAATGCACAGTTCTACATCCTTGCTGCTGCTGCTTCTCAGCTTTTCAGTGGGGCTGGAAATGTCCCTTCTTTTCCCCTCTGCCCTTGATCTGCTGTGCACCTTCTTGCAGTGCAAGTCATCTTTACAAACTGCACACATCACACTTCATTTGTTGCACAGAGTATAAGGGAAAGAAAGGCTGTGCAACCTCCTCAAACTTGTACTCTATTCTAGCTTTTAAATAAAAAAATCTTAAATTTCTCTTAAGCATAAAAATTCACAATTGCCTCTACTTAGGGCATTTAAGATGTTATACTAAAGGTGGACAAGTAAAATATGCTATAAACTAATCAGTCCTCATATGAGAAATAAATTAGTTACAATTTTTAAAAGAAATGTTATTATACTGAGGTAATTGGTAAGAAGATGTCTAAATCAGTTATCAGTTGTATTAATGAGAATAAAAACAACTTCCAAATCAGGATGGACACTTCCTGAGTATTGGCAGGACCCCAGTCAAAAGAAACATTTCCAAACTCAATTTGGGACGGAAGGAATTCAGATGCTCTCTCTTTGCTATTTCTCTTCTGAAAGCAGACAAATTAACAAAGGGTTTTGATGCCAGCAACCCTCAAATCAAAGATGATTGAAAGAAAAATAATGTAAATTTCTCATCCCTTTTTCTTTGACAAGTTTGCAGCAATGTGACAGCATGTGTTGCTTTAATTTACCTTTATCAGTTTTGATTTTCTGTGCCTTTCCTGTGGGACAACTGATGGGGGGTAGAAGGAGGCTAAATATTTTTAGCAACAGTTTATTAATTTGGAGTATAACGTAGTTGTGTCATTGCACTGTGAAATTCTATCTACTGTGGTAAAAGCCATCTTATTTCAATGTGGAATGAAGTGCCTGCCTGTTTTAATTTATGATTATTGACATTTAAATAATTACTCAGTTAAGTTCTCAATTGCAGAATCACTTTTCATTGAACACAGATGGCTCCTTCACTGTGTTTTTTCTGTATAATATTTAAAATACAGTTCTGTACTTTTTGGTCTGGAGAGCTTAGTGCAGAGTAACAAAAGTCTGCTGATCTCTGTCTATATGTTTTTTGTGAGGGCCAGGGAGCTGCTTGAGCTAAGTTATCTCAACAGTGGCTCTGCAGTGTTGATGGAATATGTGATTGACACGCAGCTGCATGTTTATCAGAACTGGAAAGCCCAGGCTAGCTGTTCATGTCAGTCATCCCCTGACTGTTCTGGCAAGCATTGCTGCTCCAGGGCTGGTATTCTCTATGGACTGTGTCACCCATGCTATTAATGGCAAAATACTTCAAGTTGTACACCAGAACAAAAAATATTTTTCTTTAAAGAGACAGCTGACATGAGTCATGCTGCAAATATGATTTGATTGAAGAATACTACTAAAAGAAATCAGAGGCTACTTCAAAATTATTTTTGTTACAAGGACAAAAAAGAATGCTTTGAGCTGCAATGACTGGGATTGTCCTCATCCAATTTTGTTACTCAAGCCCTAACTCTGGTAGCTCCGGCATGTGTTTTGTCTGCAAAAAGAAGACAGAGTGATTTCTTTTGTTATGGCCGCTTTGTGTTAGCTTTATTATGGTAGTTCCAAGAACTGGGTTTTTTTCCCCTAGTGTCTGAAAAGGAAGAGACAGGCTTGGAGAAAATATTTCCTGGCTGTATATTTGTCCATCACCATGGAATAACCATAAAGAGGCTTCAGATTCGCTTCTTCCTTCCCATCCCTTATTATGAGACCCCAGCTGGGGACATATGCTAATGTTTTCAGGTTAAGTGACATGGGAACCATCATCATTCAAATAATGTTTTCAGGTAGGTTTCCTTTGCCCTGCCCAAACACAGAAAGCACTGAGCGCAATATACTTAGACTTCTAAAAAAAAAAAAGTACCCTGCTCAGTTCGTATGCATCCCAGAAATTAGAAAAATTATTGTAAAAGGGCTGTGTCTGTACCTAGGCTCATAGTTTTCCCCCTTCAATAGCATTATGGCTGTTGGCTCATATTTCTGTTTACCATTAAGCTGAAATTATGACCCATGCTTTATTAAAAAATCTCTATAATAGATTCTTTCTGGTCTGCGCATCCTTTATGGAAAAAAGGTGTGGCTATTTTGTTGTTGCAGTTCTTTTACTTTTGAAGGACAAGATTCTTTTTTCCCCCTAAGAACTGCACTAACCTACATTTAATTAGTGTCACATCATTTGGGTAGGTTGTCCACAAATCTAAGAAGGGTTGGAGATACCTGCATTTGTAGTTGGCTTGTTGCCACCTGCGATCAAACAAATTGCTGTATATTGATTCAGTTTCAGCTGACCTGGGAAATGAATTCTGGAAGAAGCAGAGATACTGCCCATGTCCCACATTTCTGCACATAAGGATAAAAGTTGCTTTTCCCCTCCCAAACCTCCAAAAACCATATTGAGCAAGAGCTTAGTGTTATGTGTCGTTACAATAATGTTGATGGGATGCAGGGCCAGACAAGTACAGCTGCTGTCTACAATATAGATTAATGACTTTAATTAGACTCTTGAAAGCTTAGCCAATAAAGGCATAAACATGTTAAAAATTGGTATTTTGTTACATTACAGTTTATACAGTGGGTTGCACATCAGATTAAAGCATTGACTATCAAACAAATTCCTGCAAACTGAATTATAAGTGTTTATGATGTCCATTTTCTGAAAAACTTGTTTCTACAGAAAGCCTTTAGTCCACTGACAGCCAGCATAAAATTGTACACATTCTCAGGAAACAATTGTATTTCTTGTTTGCTGAGGGCAATGCCTTGACAAGCTAGCTGTTCACAGCTGCCACTTCCAAAATCATGTCTTTGGACAGCTTGCACTATAAATCTAGTGGAACAGTTTTATTATAGTGATGTCATTTACCATAACTTTATTCAACTGAAACATGACCTGGTCGGGAATAAAGCAAGTGGTCAAATAGATCATAATTATTGCCCATTTGGTTCCTTTAGTAATCACACATGTCCTTCTTTTATGTTGTAGTTTGAGATATCATACTCCTTCCAGAACTGAGTGAATGGGCTAATGTTTTAATATGCAACCTGGAATTTAACAGGCAAGTGCATAAATGCTGAGAAAGTAGTTGGGAGCTGTATTAAGCTAAACTCCAGCTAAGCCTCTAAATCTCATTGGTGGAACACTTTCAAGTAGAGGTTGGAATTCTTTGCAGAAGTCTCTGAAGCAAGCCAGTGAAAATTTATCTCAGTAAATATTATCTATTATTTTAGTATACTAAATAATAAATTCATATTATCAGTACTAAATATCATTCCATAAGGAATGGGTTCAGACAATCTGAAGTCCCACTGACTTCCAGAGACAGGCAGAAGGAGCAGTAGTCAGCCCCAAGCTACCTTTAAGCTGGGAAGTCCAGTGTCCCTCCTGTGGTAAGAAAGAGTTTCCTCCATCCAAAGATCTTCTGAAATATTCCCCAGCCTAAAGGATCTTATCTCACCCACTAGAAGAGGAAGCTTAAGGGATCTTTGCAAATACCCTCATTAATTTGCTAAAGAGTTTAAGCAAGGAGAATACCAGATTTACAGGTGTGGTTTGGGGCTCAGTTTGCAGCCTGATGAATCTAAATCTCTTGCTTCTATGGCTACTTTTGAATGAAAATTATAGTTGTCAAGACATTGTAAAACACTTCAGGAAAAGTGGTAGTATTTCTATGAGACATGTTTATGAAAGTGCTGTAGGCAACGTTGCGATATTATTTGATTGTACGTTCCCTTCTCAAGGACTTTATTACCAAAAAATGTGTCTATCAAGTGACTTTATTTCCAGACCTTCTGCTCCTGTTCTGTTTTCAAGTAAACCTGTAGAGGAAAACAAGAGAGTGACAGCTTTTACAGGTGACACCTGCATTAATTGTTTTTTTCAGGACTACAAGTAGAGGGCCTCTTCCGAAGGTCAGCCAGCATCCAGACTATCAAAGATGTTCAGAAACTCTACAATCAGGGTAAGCTGTCATCATATCCCTGCCAGTAATACTGTGAGGGCTTTGTTAATCTTGGTTTTGTTGGTGAAGCAGAAATGCTAGTTTTCTAATAATTAATCATAAAACCCTTTGTAACTTAAAATAAGAGCACTGGTACAGAAACCTGAAAGTACAACAGGCACTGAAGGCTTATTGGATAGCAAGTCATCAGTTAATGTCAGACAAGAGCTTACAAAATCCATAGCAGGTAATGAGTGATAAGTCTTGAGTCAAAGGTGCTCTGTTTTTTTCATAAACATGTGTATTGCCTCTATGCACTTTGAGTTACTGTAGTTGTGATGTATAATGTCTTTGTGTCATTTTGCCTCTGGTGTTTTTCCACGGTTATGGCAAAGAAATGTAATTTTACCTAATTATTTATGAAATGCAGTGGGGTAATTTTGACAATCACTGATGTCCACATGAAGTCATTTTACGAAGTGCCTTTATGGGGAGAATCTCTTATAGCAACATGAATAAAACACTATGAAAAATGCAAAAAGGAAGGGCCGGGAGTCACCAGCAGCAGAAAGCCAGGTGGTTTTCTGTTCAAAATTTAGTGTGAAATAGTAGCAGTAGTTTAAAAAAAAACACATGTAAAATGTGATTGAACACCTTTTTTGTTGTTTTTCTCCTTTTAGGCAAGTCTGTGAATTTCGATGATTATCATGATATCCATATTCCACTGCTGTTATCCTCAAGACTTTCCTTAGGGAGCTCCCTCAGCCATTACTAACATTTGAGTGTTATGATCATATCCTCGGAATCACCAGTGAGTATAAATAAAGTTTTAGAAAAATTTGTACAACAAGTTGAACTGGGCCTGGCTAATTACTAATCACTGCTGTTTACCAATCGTGACCCACAGTTGTGGGTATATAATATTATTAGTGTTTCACTGTAGCCACAAATGGACACCTTCATAATCTGTACCAGAGCAGGCTGGTTAGGGTTACCAAGACCCTTTCTGCTTTTTACAAGGTTTACTGGTTTATCTAAAAAATCATACCGTATTACTAAGAATTGTATCAGGCTGTCAGGGCTCCCTTTCATGCCATGACACAACACTGAGTCAGTCTGAGTGGTAAAATTTATGTCAAAGCAGCTTTAGTTTTAGCAGTAGCATTGGCAGAATTGTGGGAACAACATTTAGTTGGTCATTTGTATGCTTCTTTCCTTTTTATTTTTTTTTCTTGTGGGGATGGGATTGTTTTTATTGAAACTGTTCCCATGAGATAGCGTATTGAGAAGAAAGGATTTAAAGCCATGAGAAGACACTGATTATCTGAAGATCTGGCACCACATGGAAACATTAATTTTAAAATGTGTAATTACTTAGCATTTGGCAGCAACTGTTTTACAATGCTGACAAGGCAACTCTCTAATAGATGGGAATGAATACTGTTGAATACCTAAGATCCCAGAATATCTGAGATTTAGTACCTAGTATTTGTAGAGACTGATATTTTGCTTCCTCGGGTATAGTCAGCCAGCAGGGAACCAGTAGAGCTTCCAGTAACAAGTCACAAATAGACGTTTTCCTCAAACCTGCTTTTTGAAAAAATTATGTGTATTATAATGGAGTGTGACTTTCAACAGTCTGTCAGCATGCCTCTGCTAACTGTGAGCTGATGCTGTTGCAAAGTGTACATTACCATCAGTATCATGACTGTTGCTATTGGGGTAAGTCACTAAAATAATTTAGGTTGAGGATAAATCTCAATGACGATGTAATAAAGTGTAGAAGTACAGGAAATTTACCTACATATACTGTATTCTATGTAAAATTCTTATAGTGTAAAATTCTTATAGTTCTTATTAATGTATTGGTATTAAAAAACTTAATCAGGTCATGTTCAGAATTCTCTGAAGTTCTATACTGTTTTCTTGTTTGCAAGCCTGTATGTCACCCTGTTCTAAAACAAGGATTCATCTGTGGACACACTAAGTGTCTCAAGACAATGAGAAAAACAGGTCTATTCACAGGCAGAAATGAAGGGACTAAGAATAGTCACTCTGAACTGGAAAGAACAGCGGAAATTTGGAAAAAGACTGTATACATGCTAATTTTTACTGAACTAATATTGTGCTGACTTTCTGGAGATAATATTACTTTGTGATACAGCCAAGTGAAAAATGAGAACAAGTCTGAGGATAATCTGAGAGCAGTGCATTATGCTAGGAACACTGGGATGTTTTTCTTGGCAAAGCATCTGTGAAACTTTTGTTCCATATTATTTTTGTTTACTGACATTTAAAATGCAGACAAAATACTTTGAAAAGTGGAGCTTAAGAAAATTCATCCTTGGACTTCTGTGCTCTGCGTTGTGATGTCCACTCTTTTTTGATGCTGCGGTGATATCCTGATTTTAAAAGATCTTAAGCTCGAGAGCCAGCTGGACTGCAGCAAAGACATATTCTTTGTGAATATAGTGCAGAAGGGAGCTGTGAAGAGGTGTGATCACAGACAGCTGTCTTGAGATGACTTGAAAAATCTTATTCTGTCTTCTGGAAGACACCAGAACAGTGTGAGATATGTCTATTACATCTCTTAACCTGCAAACCCAGAAATACAGTATCTCTGCTTTAGAGTACTTTAAAATGACAGTGAAACTTTTTTCCATAGTGTCTTATCTGAAACATTTTTTAAAAGAGTTATTGATGGGAGCTGGGAACTGAATTAGTTGAGTGACTGACTAAAAACAATTAATAGAACCTCAAAGCTTATAATTGTCAAAGAACAAGTTCTTTGGTCATGAAAACTTCTACTAGAGCTGCTTTGCCCAGTATTGCTGTCCTTCCTGCATGATTTACTCTGCAAAAGGCTGAGTGAAAAAATATTGGGATTCAGATTACTGTGTCTTACAGGAACTGGCAGCTTTGCATGAGGAAAAACATCAACACGGCTCATCACAGTATAGCTTCATGTATTTAATTCAGAGCTTAAGGGAACATGTAGCATTCTGGAATTTTGTGCATGGATGCATACTTATAGACGTGTCTAGCTGTGTCAAGGAGGGAGAGAGAAAAATGCAACAAATGCAGAAAAAACATCAGCACAAATGGACTGGTTGGGTCAAACATGATTGTAATAATCAGACCTTTCTACAAAATGGCATTAAATTTCCAGTACTAAGATAATTACAATATTCCAGAAAAGAAAAGAAAAAAAAAAGAAAATACTAAGAAAAAAAAGAAGAAAAAAGACATTTGGAACAGCATTTGAAATATTATCCAGTGTTAGTGTAATTGTCACCCAGCTATCTAGGTGACGCAAGGAGTTTGGGCTCTATTTCTGGATTTGCCCCTCTGTAGAACCGAGTTAATGAACCTGCTTAGGAAAATCTCTAGAAAATTCTTACACACCCAAGTGGCCATCTCATAAATTTTTACCAAGACAGAAAAGTTTCCTGCACAGTCACAGAAGTGTTTTTAAAATCAGTGGATTGTCCAAAGAGCATGTAGAGCAGATCTGTGTCTCCGCAAGAATAAAATCAGGGTTTAAAAAGTAGATGCCTGAATCCAGAGAGATAATGGGATTCAAATCAAGACTTTTGAAAGTCCTCTCTACCAAATACATTATTTTGGCTATTTCACTTAATCAAGAAAATAGTCTGCAAGTTAGTCTTAGCCGGATATATAATAATACAGAAGATTATAGGGACATTCAAAGGGGTAATCCTAACTGTTACTGTGATCATGGAGGTTAATAGGGCTGAATTTTTTGGTCAGTTTTACAGATTAATAACTACATTCCAGCAGATATGAATAAGGGGTTGTTTCTTGTTAGTATTTTGATGGTTTTGAGTTAACTTAAGACTGACTTTGACATTGCAGGTGTAGAGAGCAGTCTGCGAGTCACCAGATGCAAGCAAATCATTCAAGGACTTCCTGAGCACAATTACGTTGTTCTGAAATACCTGATGTGCTTTCTCCATATGGTGAGTACAGGCAAAATTTCCAAAAGTAGTGCTAGTCTTTTCTTTCTAAATCTGTTCTTGTTAATTCAACATTGAAAATGTTCACAGAAAATAAAACTGAAGTAGTTTAAAACTGTGGTGGCGTGTCAGTGCAGTACTTGCCAATGAAGTGAAGTCAGGGTGCAGAACCCTCCAGTTCTGATAAAGGTCAGTGCTAAAAAATGGTCTGGGCATCCCTTCACCATGGAATTCTTTATATGTAATGAAAATTATTGTCTAAATTAAAATAGAACTGTGCTTCTTCTGACATATTTAGAAGTTCTGCTTCCCTGACCCTGTGTTCACAAATGGACGTTTTTTATTGATTCCAATTTTGAGTATTTTTCCTATTTTGGAGTTTAAAAAAGCCTGCAAATAGTGATTGGGTAATTTTGGGTCCAGAGAAAAACTAGAAGTAGTAATATTTTTTTCTCAAAGATATAAACCTTGATCGACTAAAACACCAAATAATGCACTGTAATTTTAGAAAATAATAGAAATATTAATAAGCTTTAAAACAATAATTGGCAAGGTATTAAATATCAAATCTTTCAAATAACATTTTCCTAATTAAAATAGCCTTCCATTCTGTAATTTACTACAATGTTAGATTAAAAACTTCGACTGTGCCATTTTACAAGGATTTTTGGTATGCTTCAGGGTAAATGAATCGTGTCTTTTTTCCTATTTCTGATTTTTCTGATGGTTTGTTTTTAGCCCATTTTTGGAAACCTGTAAGTGTGAGGGGGTTCACTGAACATCCATCATAAATTGTCCTAGTGACATCCTTTGGTTGCCACTTTATGTGCAGGAAAAATCAGTAATACTAGTGTAAGTTTCCCTTCCTTCTGCCTTATCCAATGCATTGCCTTTTCCAGATTGCATTTTTCAAACCCAGGTGCCTAAAATTGAGGATCATGGTGTAGTTGACACCTAAATAAAGTGATCTAGCTTTCAGAATTCCTAAGAGCCCACCAAAGCAATCATGTGTTTGGAATGATGCTGATTTTCACCAGTGGAGGAGTTAGACCTCAGTAACTGTTCTTGGGCTACAGTCATCCTTGCCATATTCTAGCCAGTAGCACATTTCAGAAACAAGTGCATTAATCCCTTTTTCTATCAAAACACTAGAGAAAAGCAAGATTAAAGGAAACACATTGATAAGACCCTCAGAGGCAGCACTTGCATGGTTCCTGTAATACCCATGCTCGTTTACTGTTGCTTAGCTGAAGTCTAATGCTATTAAGAAAATCCTTATGTCACTTGCTATTATTTTAGCATCTGATATCTCTCCTCAGTGTTATGAATCGTGTAAGTGACTTTGTTCCAATAATAGATGCACCATCTCAACGCACCTCTTAAGAGCTGAGCACTTGAGGTGTTAATGAGGTGTGCAAAAGTAATACAGAGTGTTTTCTGTAATTGGGCAACAGAACATAGCATTATTTTTGAGTATGCCTTGTTATGTAAAGCACAGCGTCAAGTTGATACTAGTGCTCAGATCTGCAATTTTTGCTGATCCATGGCTTTTCATCCTTAATGTCTCAGGGAATATTTGCATTTGGAAAGGTCACGGGAACGTGAAACAATCTAGGAGCTAGAGATTTCTATTCATTGCAGGTCGGTGTGCTGCACAAGCTGCCACAATTCAAACTTTAACAGACCACTCTACCAATAATCCTAGTTTTTACCTGCAAGCGTCAACCTTCTTACATATAAGAGGCAATTTAATTCTTCCACGAGCGCAGCCTTGAGTAGTGCAAGAGGTACTTGTGGTAATTTCATGAAGTGGGATGAATTGTAATCACTAGATACAGGTTTGAGCACTCCAGGATTGATACAGGCTTGTGGAAGAAGAAAAAAATATCCCTGTTTTCTCTGCAGTCTCAACCCCCTTACTTAATGAAACAGCTCCTTCTATTCCAAGGGTGTTACAGCAAGGGAGTGCAACTGCTACAGAAGTAACAGACTGGAATTTCAAAGATACGTCAGATTCCTTTAACCTTAGATTAGCTGTGATTTTGTCCATAATGAGCCCAGCATGCTGTGAAAGGTGTAAGCTCTCCCTCTCCATGTTGCAGAGCATCTGGCCACTAGAGAGGGATCTGCAGGGTCCCCTTGGAGTTGCAGTGGATTGAGATTCCTAGGCAGAATTAAGAAACCAGGAGCAGGGAGAAAATCAAAGGCAATTTTTCACAATTTAATCCCTGAGTTATGTCTGCAAAAGATGTCTGTGCTGCTCAGCTGACCTCACAAGAGATGCATGTGCACTAACTAGTGTTTGTGTTCCACAAGCCCTGTGTTGCACATGCAGTGAAGTGAATTTATGAATGCACATGCAAACTTAAAGGACTCGAAATTTCTTGCAAATTACTTGGCAAAGCATTCTGAGGGCTACAGTTACCCAGTTCTGAAGCCAGAAACCATTTGGTACGAAACTGTAATTGTTGTTTTCCATGACAGTCTAAGGCTAAACAAACAGCAAAGTTTGTAGAGGCAATAGTGTCATCTAGGTTGTGTTTTTATAACCACATCTTTGGTTTTGGTACCAGCTGATGCAGCCCCCTCTCTACACTTACATACTTTCCCTTCCTCGTGCTTATTTCTGTCCCTGCAGTCATGTCTGATGCAGGGGAAAGGTGGCTGACTTGGCTGAAAGAACCATTGCAAAAACCTGCCAAAGTAAAATTAATGTCAAGCTTGGACTAACTGCAAAAAATGGATGAGGTCTGGGGGCCCATGAACTATACTTCAGATTGGTAACCAAAGCAGGACAGTTAAAGCCACATGTGAACTGGTAAAAATGTTCTGAATGAATTAATGTTTGTCTCAACCACTTCTCCAATTTAAATCTGTAATTAGCACCAGCAAAGCTTGGGGGTGCCTGGGCACATTGGGAAGGATTAGATGACTAAGCTTCATAGAGCAGATACAAGCAGTTGGCACATCTGCAAGGTAGCAGGGGGCAGGGGATAGAAACTTTTATTTCCAGTCAGTTTGTGAGGATGTTTTAATAAGTGGTAATTTTCTTTTGAAAATGTTTTGTGGAATTCCTTTCAGCATTGCAACTGAAGCCAAGGAGACAGTTATGTCCATGTATTTTTAAAAAGTTATGGTAATTGGCTGTTTACATCCTTTGAATTTCACTAAGGTCAGTAGGTAGAATCATATAATTATCAAGGCTGGAAAAGGCCTTCAAGATCATCAAGTCCAACCATCTGCCCTACACCCCCTAACCACTAAACCATCTCCTGAAACCCCACATCCACCCATTTTTTTAACACCTCCAGGAATGATGCCTCTACCACCTCCCTGGGCAGCCTGTTCCAACATCTCATCACTCTTACTCTGAAGAAATGTTTCCTAATACCCAATTTGAACCGCCCCTTACACAACTTGACCCCATTTCTGGTTTCATTCCTGCAGTAGCCATGAGGGTGCTGGGGTGCAGTTATGTGGAATCCAAAAATCATCACAATTTTGCTGGGAGGAGCTGGATAGTGAGGATTTTATTTTGCAGTTGTTGATGTAGTACTAAATCTTCAGTGTTTATTCCCAATTATGAATATTGCAATGTGCAGGTGTTATTTTTCTAGAGGACTTTCTTCCAATATAGGTTGCCATTACTAATGATTTTACTATATATATTTCAATGAAAGGGGAAAAAACCCCATCAAACTGGAGCTGTGTAGTTCTTTGTTGTATTGTTTTTCAGTGATGGTCAGATGAATCCTTCAAAGATACTATCTAGGTCCTTGGAGAATTGGCTTTTATTAGCTTGTCAAATTGACAGAGCAAGTGTATTTTCACTTGAAACAGAGATGATGGTTACTAACTTCCCATGGTAATCGAAGGAGGAGTAAGTGGGCTAGTCCAAATCCTAAAGATGTCAATTTTATTTCTCAGGTAGAACATAGCTCTGAGGTGCAGCCCATGAAGAGGCTGGCTGGGGTCATCCTACCCTGATGTGATCTAGTTTTAGAAGAAAACATCAGCTACTCTTGATAATGTTGTAGATTAAGTGAATGTGTTTGTGTCATTTGAGAAAGAAATCTGGCACTGGACTAGTGAGGGGGTTAGGACGTTGTGAAGCCTGATTCCCTTGAGGAGGGATAAAGCCATTACCACTGGTGTGACAAGGCTTCCTTGCTCACAGCTCTTGATGAGCCAGCAAAAATTATTGTGGAGACAGTTGGATTCAGTTGCACACTTTCTCTTGGATCTGCTGAGAAAGGGATTGCTATGCATTTTGGAGTGAAGCAACGTGCTGTGCTGTGTCTCCCTTGAATTCCGAAGTGTCAGCCTGATTGATGACTCACAGATAAGACTTAGTGTAGCTCTGCCTCAGATGATACAATCACTGCTTCGTTTTATCTTACGGATTTTCTCTCTCAAGGGAGAGGCTGTGTCATGGGTATTTTCGTTGGTCATTTCAACATTGCCTGTCTGCTTGAATTGTTCACAGTGGGAAGAGATGGTTTCATCTTGGAGTTAAAAACATTCTTTGAAATAGTTTGCTTAAAGAAAAAAATAACAAAAACAAATCTAGCTCTACCAGCAAGTTGCAGTGGTGTTGCTTTGGGCTGAAACATTGGCCTTCAGGGGCAGTGATGAGGTTAAACTGGATGTGATTCAACTAGTACTTGAAGACAGGACCTGTACATGACTTGCTGGATAGAGTGTGTCAGGGAACACTCCCAAAAACCAGGGATAGACAACTGCAACAGGTTTGTCTTCTTCCACCCTCCACTGTCCTCCAGTACTATACCACATGCTTCTGTGCCATCACAGGATACCTGCCCTGCATACACTTAAGAAACTTGATGTAGAATATATGACATGTTTCTTTGGTTTTGTGTTATAGAAAACACAATGTGATGGGCTGTAGCTCTCATTATTTTAGAGACTTTCAACTAAAAGAAATACAAAAAAATTATTTATCCTGGACCCACAGGAGTTTCACAGCACAACATTACAGACTTTGGATGCAGCCAGCATGAGCTATTTGACCCAAGGGCCACAAACACAGTCCCTAACCTTGTTACATTTAGCAGCATCCAAACGCCAGCTCCATTGTCCAGCTACCTTCAGGGTAATACCTAGGTCTGTGTCTCCATATTAACAAGGCCCTCTTTGTTATCTTAATTGTTTTCACTTGTCAGTTATTTTGGCAGTAGTTTAGCTTTTGCTATATTGCTGTAGTATAATGAACTCCTGTTAGAGCTGATCTCATCTGAAGCAGATTAAATTAACAAGATGGGCTTGTTTTTTCTCTATAGTTAAATAGTGCATTGTGAGCAGTATGTGAAGGTCAGCAGGCTCTACATCGTTTGTACTCTGAAGAGAATGGTGTGGGTTTTGCATAAGGTCAAGAAGCAGGCATTGCTGTTTTATCTGACGACTCTTTATTCTCAGGTTGTGAAGTCAGTCCATTGTAAAGATGGTCATGGTTAATGACTTTAAAAACAATTGAAGCCTTTAATATTTGTAGCAGAAGTAGCTCTAATGTCCCAGGAGGGTAAGGCAAAGATTGTTGGGAAAAATAGTTGCTATTATTGGAAAAAATAATATGATTAAGAAGAAGATGCTACACTTTTGGGCACGTAAGTCTTCATGTCCCCCAAGGAAAAGACTTCCACCCTGCACATGTGTCTAAAGGATGTTATATCACCACACGGCTGAGCAAACAGGCTCCTTGCTAGGCAATACACCAAGGAGCATGGGACTGTGCTGTAGGAGATAGATGGGAATCAAACCTACATTACTGGGTAGAATCAACTGGAGTTTATGCGTATGCTAAGAAGTGTTCCCATGGTCATAATGTTTCTTAGATTTGCCTCTAGTGCCCTCAGACTTTTCATAGTACTACACAGCTGCCTTTTCTGGAGGACTTATGGCAAGACAGAAATGGAGAAGCACTTAGAAATGAAATTTTTGCTTTGCTATTCCGCTTGAAATTGTAGCAGGAAGAATACCCTGGGGGATTTAGCCCAATAATTCCCCATGCTGTTCTGAGATGACAGCTGCAGACTAACGTGTCCATCACAGTTTGTGCCTGTGTGGTCTTCCCATGACAAGTTATTGATCAACAACTGCAGCCATCAGCCTGAACTGGCTGAATTACCTACATCAGGAGGAATCAAGAGCACCTTCAGTTTGTTGGCTCTTCCCAATGACAGAGAACTTGTCAGATAGAACACCCAGACCATATTGGGCTTTAGATACCAGCTGTGCCACGTGGGAGAGCAAAGCACACACAAATTCCCTGCTGAGCCCGCCCAGAGGAAAAAAAGACTCCTGTCCAGTTCTGGGCTCACATCCACAGACAGAAGTAGGACACATCATTCAGGTGCAGAACAGCATTCAGTGCTGTGTATTTTACCTACAGCCCATTTTCATGTCCATTGCTTCAGAGGAATTGGATGGATGTGGAGGTGCTTGGAAGTGAAGCCATGCATCAGTGGGGGCGAGGGGGGGAATCATTAGAAACACTTGCAAACAACTTCAGAAGTCCTTGAGGTTTGTTCTATGGAGGGCTTAGGGTGTTTTGTCTCTCCCTCTCTTGGGTGCACGTCTGCATACACCTTATTTGTGTTTCTGTTTTTCCAGGTTTCACAGGAGAGCATATATAACAGAATGACAGCATCTAGCCTGGCCTGTGTCTTTGGGTTGAATTTGATCTGGCCGGAGAAAGGAACAGCCTCCCTGAGTGCTCTGGTACCTTTGAATCTCTTCACTGAACTGCTGATAGATTTCTACAGGAATATATTCCACTCCCGAACAGTGCCTGGTGAGATCTTACCTTAATGTTCCCAGGAAGGCAAATGAGATGTGGCTGCCCGAGGGAAGGATCTTCTCCATGCCTCAGCTGGTGGGAGCTTTATATTCAGGGCTCTCTCCTGTGAAGGAAACTTTCAGTGAGAGTAAAGTTTCTATAGCTTTCCAAATACCAAAGATGTTGGGAGAAGCACACTGCCCCATATATCCTCATCACACAGGGGAAAATATGTATGTGAACATTCAAAGACTAATAGGTCAAAGAGAATCCCCTTCTTAAGATAGAGCAGCTGACAAAAACTATGTTAAAAAAACCCTGACACTACGTGCCAGTCTGTAATTTCTTTGGTGATCTGGAGACCTTGCTATGTGGCATTATTTTCTGGGACCATGCAGAGCTAAGTTCTGGACAACTCCTGAGTGTACAGCTTTCTTCTTTTTTTTTTTTTTTTACTTATTTTTTTATTTGAATACAAGCTTGTTAGAAAATTCCCTATTAAGTTAATGAAGATTACATCAGTTTTTAAGATGCTAAAATTTCTAAACTATTTTTCTATAAAATCCGGTCTTGTTTTACGCAAAAAGGTATGGGCAATTGTGGCACATCAGGTTTGCAATTACAGTGGAGAGTAAAGTGTTTCCTGGGTAATTTGAGTTGTGCAGACAGCTAACTAATTATGCTTGCAAACATCTAATATGTGTATTTAATCACTGTAGCTGCACATGCGAAGTGTGTGGAAGTTTTTTTCTTATTATAAGTTCAAATGGAGAGCAATAATATTCTGGGTGTTGTTTTTTTTTCTATATATACTTGGGATTTTCATCAGTGACTTACATCAGCAAGCACATAATACAGAATATAGACTAACTTTGAGAAGAGTACCCCTGATGTTTGGCCTGCATTCTTTTGCGTTTAGAGTTGATAGAAATTGGCTCTTCATATCACTTTCTCTAGAAAGCAGTAAGAGCAACAACTTGAATAATATACCTAATATTGTTTTTATACATTGAAAGTCTATTATTAGTCCCAATGTGAATAATTAGCCAACACAAAGGGAGATTTTTCAGTGTTTTCTTTCTGACTATGCCACTTGTATTTTATGAACTTTTACACAGTGCTATTTCATTGTTTAACACTGATCAGTAATGAGGTGGTGTAACAAAGTTATCATGATAGTTCCCTGCAAACTAAAAGAAAATTAACCAGTGGTAAAAAAAAAAAAAAAAAAGAAAGAAAAGGTAAGCAGTATTTTCCTTAATGTTCTGGTCTTCCTGGTTCTGTGCAAAGCTTAGAAAACAGAGGGACTGTTTAGACTTCAGTGAAAGTAATAGTCTCAGAAGGACAATTTAGGCATTCCCTCCTCTGGAAACAGAGCCACTTTTTATCTTGTAGATTCCAGAGAGTTGAGAGTTTGTCCTTCTGGCCTTCCTCTTAGCAGTTACCAATTGCCTGCCTGTGTGAGGGGCGCAACAAAATCTTATAGCAAAGGGTAAAGAGGGTTCGTTCTTGTCAGCAATTCCAGAAAATAACCAAGTACTTCAGAAGGCTGTGGAATGCCGGATGTGCCAGGCCTTCATTTGTCCAGTAGGTGTCATCTGTAGCATTAGACAATGATGAAAATTCAAAAAATACAGAGGCTTTAGAACAAGACATGTTGGGACCAAGTTCTTACATGACAGTTGTGTGCTTTCCCCAGTTCCTCAAGTCTCTTAAAGACAATTTTTTGGCCTTTGAATATCTGTAAGTAATAACCACCTATGACTCCCATTTAAATACAACATCTTGCATAATACAAAGAGAATAATTAACAAGTATTCATGATGGTTGAATTTCAGCAAAATGAGATTGCCAAGGGTAAAACTGTCATGGTTTTGTATTGCAACTCATCAGTTTTACATCTGATTTATCGATGACAGCATCCTAGCCTTGTTGTATTATGAAAACCAAACACAGTTATGCTCAGCACTGTTCAGCAACACAGCAGCGTGGTTCTGTGCATCAGCACCCTCTTCTTATCGGGGAGGAATCTGGCAATTAACAAAACCTGAGGTTTTTTCCACTCTCTGACCTTGATCAAAATACACGTGCATTAGTTTTGCTATCTGTAAAAAAGAGCAGTTGTCATTCGAAAATTAGAATTTGGGATTAAATGCTGGTAAGTCTTATAGAATGGTTATTTGCCATTTCCCTGTGTCCTCTTCCAAAAAATCCAGCAACATCAAATGGCATTTAGTCTTCAGGCTACACAGAATGGGAATGTGAGTCCTGGGTGGCTTTAGCACAGTAGTATGCCAGAGCCCTGAGGGGTGAAATCCTAGGTTCATGAAAGTCAGCTTTGCTTAACAAGTCCCCAGAGCCTGGGGAGGGGAGTATCCCATAGATTTAGTTCTCCAACTCTTCCTAGGTTGGGAGAGAGGGAATTTGGCAGCATCAGTCATCTTGCTGGGGCAAACCCTCAGGGCACAGCTGCCTCTGACCCCATTACTTTTACAAGTAAAAAGTACAAGCAAAGAGCATCCCTTCTGGTAATTTGCCTGCCTGTAGACACACAAAATGAGAGTTAAAACCAGACTCACTCTTTCAGTATTGGTCATATGCCAAACTGCTGGTCTTCCCTTTAAGTGCTCTGCAAACTACCATTTTCCAGCAATTTATAGCTCCTCTCACTTAGTCAATGAAGAGCAAAATGGCGTTTTCTCATCTCAAGGTGACTTCTTCCTTTGAAGAACTGATAACATCTGTTATCCACCCATGTGGGTAATTTGATGCTTAAGGAAAGTGGAGGCTCTGGTTTGGATTGCCACTAGTACTGGTGGGGGGATGTGGGGCTCCTGCTCCTTTCCTGCCTCCCCAGCAGGCAGCCAAAGCCAGAGGTAAGGAAGGTGCTCACCTCCACCTCAGCGTTGTCCTGCGAGCCTGCTCATCACAGGGAAGGGATTTTCCCAAATCAAAGGCACCTGGGTATCGAAACCCTCCTAGCCATAAGACCCCAGCTTTGTGCCCCCTACCCTAAAGGAACTGGTGAAATCCTTCGTCTGTAGCAGAAGCCCCCGATCTCTGTCCTGAGTGCCAGACTTAACTATGACATTAAATCAGTTCTCATGAATTATTCAGAAGGGTTTGGAGTGAAATTCATGTTAGAGAAATATATGTTTCAAATTTCCTGACTCTAAGAGGAGTCCTGGAGGTGTCCCCTGCAGTTACTTTGATAACAGTTTCTCTTTACAAATGATAATTGCACGATTCGAGCTTTTGTACAGTGTGGCCTTGTGAACTCTTCTCTCATATCAAAGAACAATTTTCAGATCATTTCCATAGCAAAAAGAAAGTGATTATGGAGATAATCTGTTGGAAACACACATGCTGGATTTCAGTTTAAAACAATAAAATGCAGTCATGGAATGAGAAATCAAGTGTTACCTAGCTGACAATATATAGAGAATAAATTGCCTGAGCATTTTAGTTTACCGAGCTGTTAGTAGTTGAAAATTGGCCCCAAGATTAGTCTGATTATCAGGATGCCTCTAGCAACAAGCAGCAGAGGGGGAAGGGAATATCTTCTACCCTGAATCTATGAAGAAATGTAAGAAGATTGAACAATGTCATTAACCAAGGGGGGTCTTTAGAGTTCTTACAAAAAACTTCCATAAATGATTGTCACTTAGATGTGTGCAGATGATCTGTCTTATTTGTGCTGCACTCCTGAAGCAGTGTTCCTTGCAGAATCACTCAGAGCCTTAGAAATACAAACTTTAATATATTCATCCACTTGTGAGAAGAGTAATAGTAGAAAAGCGCCAGATATTTTATTCACATGTACTTAGGTAGCAAGTTGAACTTTTAATGGGAAGGACAGTACAGTCACCCACTCCTTCATTCCCTGAGTAGTTTGTCTTCACAACCCTGGAGAATGTAGGCTTCAAACAACACTCCCACTTTTCAAGTGGCCATGGGGGTGTTGGGGCATGGGGGGAGAAGGTCAAAGAGAGTTACTGCCAGCACATATAATTTGGGGAGTGAGAAGCTCATGTTCAGTTGAAGCTCTACTGGCCAGGCACATCCCTTCTCATACTCTGTTCATTTCTAATGTTTTTACCTACAAAGAGACGTCAGAAGCAAACACACCCTGCTTTCAGTAGGCACATCTCCATTGAAGCCAAAGGTATGACTGTGAGAATTATGTAAATCATGTGTGAAATGATACATGTGGCTGGTGTGTGAAAGGGGTTCTGCCTTTCCTGCTCAAGCAATACTCATTTTCAGCATCTGAAGAGTTTGATTTTTGTCTTTTTATGTCTTTGTCCTGTCGAAAGCCATTTCAGGGGATTGCATCTAAGGTAGCAGAGGATTTCAGGATCCTCCAGCATCATCTGAGAGCAGTGGAGGATTGTAGTGGTATGCTACAAACACTGTCTTCTTTCTTGCTAGCTGGAAAGCTTGAGAAAGGGCTGCCTTACCCGATGGGATTGCTTCAGAGCTAGGTTGGTGGTTTGGACAGTGAACTGGCCTGGAAACACAGAAGGAAACATCCAAATACAACCAGGAGAAAAGCCCTTTTCCGCAGAGGGCCTGTCAGCACCTAAGAAATGTTACCCACAATTGTCACTCTGAGGGAAAAGAGTCTTAGCTTACCTCTCTGAGCTGGAAATGCACAAACTTGTGTACGATGGTACCAAGTTCTCCTCTTTCTTCCTGACTGGAGTCTGTTACCTGTAGTGTTAGGAAAGCCATGGTAATTATACATGGAAGAGTCATAGGCCTGTTATCCCAGCTACTTCTCTCTAGAATAGCTGGCAGAAGTTCAGCCTTAAAAATAATTAGCTGATTGGAAAAATATTTCTGCTGGAACATGCCAACTCAACAAAAAATAAAAGCATTTTCTTAAAAGGCTTGGTTTTGGTGCTTTTATTTCAGAAATAATTACTTTCTTCCAGAAAGCTGCCTGCGTGCTTCTGAGCCATGGACCCCCAGGCTCACCCAGGGCCTGGTTCCAGCTCTGCTGGTCACCGTGGTGCTCCAGAGCAGGGAA